CCCCAAAAACCCCAAAACCCCAAAACCCCAAAACCCCATGAGGATATCTCAAAATTGAATTGAAATATCCAAATATCCAACTGGAAATTTACACATGCCGTGTGTACATATGGGTAGGGCTTAATATTTACACATTAGAGCAGTCGTTACCCTCACTTTGACCTCTATGGAAAAATCTTTGACTGGGGAAGACAAGAAGAATATTAACTATATCTCACAACTTTTGAAACAGATACGGAAGGACAAGCAGGAGTATGCCAAAGTTAAACTCAAAATTGATGAAGAAATGGATAATAGAGATAAACTTCGCATTCTTCTCAAAGCTGCTACAAAAATAAATGGTCATCAAGAAGAATATGATCGAATCTTGTACACGCTTGGTGAAATAAATTATCGGCATTTAGGAAAGCAGTCTTGGGTGAAGTACCAGGAGACAATGCGACAGGAGGAGAGATTACAAGGTCTCAATAACTCCCAAAAGTATGCTTTTGGGCTTCATCAAGAGATGTGCAAGCAAAATTATGAGGATACTGATGAGCCTGGGCAAACTGTAAAGAGTTCAAAGATTACTAATAGCAAGGTTTTTAATAAATTCAAACAGAAAATGGATAATAGGCAACTGAACTTTTCTGATAACCTTTATTTAAGACAACTCGCATGAAGAAGCAAGAAGGTCTATGAGAACAAGGAACGGGAAAAGAACCCAGGAGAAGTAGTTCCAGCTCCAGTGAATCCTAACGGAGGGGTCATTAGTAACTTCAGGTATGCCAACACTAATGACACACTTCCTAAGTCTACTTCAATTCTGCAATTTAACAAAGAAATTGATGAAAGGAAGCAATATCAGCTCAATAACCCGAATGCATCCTCACGGAAGAGGACTTTTGATCAAACTTTTGGAGACATCCCAGACACCTACCAAGAGCGGGATAATTACCGCTCTTTATCCTCTGTTGTGGAGAACCCTGATTTTCAAAAGAAGCGGGACAGGAAGATCTCCGACTCTTCCTCATCAGGTTCTGAATCCGAAGAGGAAGAAGATAAGCAAATGGATATCTCAAGATTCATTAAAAAGAGCGAATTTTCACCACCAAATATATCAACAGAAAAACCAACAGAGGTGTTTTCTAAGAATAAGGAGGTCATGAAGAAAACTCAGCAGGACGATAGCTACAAAGTAGTGAAGACTAATATTTATGAGAAAATAATCTGAGAGGATAAGCCTGATAGACCAGGAATGAATCTTCCTCATTTTGATAAATCCCTCCCACCTGAAAACCTTTATAACCCATCTTCGAAGAGAGAACGTAAGAGAGCAAAATATAGCGATGAGGATGATGATAAATACTACAGGCAGACAAAAACCGATCCTCGGAAGTCAAATTCAGGTGATTCTTACCTAGACAGGGCTAATTCAGGCACAGGGTTTGCAACAGCTGAACGTCAGTTTCATCACAATATGGTGAAGAAGTACGGCAATAATTACCAAAAGCCTGAACGAAGAGGGTGCAATAATCCCTATAATGATGAAGAAGAAGAATCTGCCACAGCCAAGATGAGGAAGAATGGAGGGAGGCAGCCAGGACTAGGCAAGAACAGAAGATTTACCCCTCCTGATAAGAGTAATGAAGGCCCATGGAACCCTGGCAAAAGCATCGTAAATTCTATGGGTGGATCCGCACAGAAGGGAGGTAAAGAAAATGAATACAACTTCTTAAAAGTCGATGAAAATGGAATTCCTGATGAAAGATACCAAACACTTGATCCTAGAATGGTCGAAATCATTGAAAGTGAAATTTTAGAAAGCAGACATCGTATCGTTTGGAATGATATAGCAGGACTTGAGTCGGCAAAGAAGACTATCAACGAACTTATCACACTTCCATTAAAAAGGCCAGATATTTTCAAAGGTATCCGGGCTCCTCCGAAAGGTGTACTTCTGTTCGGACCTCCTGGGACTGGTAAGACCATGATCGGTAAAGCCATCGCTTCTGAGACAAACTTTACTTTCTTTAATATCTCAGCAAGCGCTTTGACATCTAAGTGGGTGGGTGAAGGAGAGAAACTGGTAAAGACTTTATTCAAACTTTCTGTAATCCACCAGCCTTCTGTAATCTTCATTGATGAAATCGACTCCCTCTTGTGATCAAGGTCTGATAATGAAAATGAAGCAGGAAGGAAAATCAAGACAGAATTTATGGTTCATCTTGGAGGAGCTGGCACTGACGATGACGATAAAGTCCTGATAATTGGAGCAACCAACCGACCCTTTGAGCTTGATGACGCTATAAGAAGAAGGCTTGAGAAGAGACTGTACATTCCATTGCCATGAATGGAAGGAAGAAGACAATTCATTGAGAGGATCATTGAGACAGAGACAGAAAATATGAAAGTTGACATAAATACTCAAAGAATAGAAGAAATAGCTACTTCCACAAAGGGATATTCAGGAGCAGACTTGAAGAGTCTTTTTAAAGAATCGGCAATGATTCCCATACGAGAACTGATGAGTAACCACAGTATCGAAGATGTATCTGCAGATGCATTACGCCCAGTGGTTGCTGAGGACATCTTGAATTCCATGAAGTTTACACCTCCTAGTGTGAACCAAGATGATCTGTCTAGATATCTAGATTGGAACAAAAAGTTTGGCTCATACCAGCTTAACGATGATGAACTTAATACTTAGTCATAATTGTGCTAATAAAATATTCAATTAGTGTGAAAAATGATGGGGTTTTGGGGTTTTGGGGTTTTGGGGG